CTAACTGCCTCTGCCTCTGCCCCCACCACTGTGGCTTTGTCTGGAAGGAAGCCAGACAGTCAGAAGATGTCCCATCTCCTGGTCTAATTAGCATATTACCCTTTTATTAGTATAGGTAAATGGAATTATGCAGTGTTATTTTGTTCTGGTTCCTTCCCCTTAGCAAACTATTGGTGAGATTCATTCATGTCATTGCTTGTATCAGCAGTTCACTCCTACTTTTAGCAAGTAGTATGAATACACCACAATTTGTTTAACCGTTCTTCTCTTACTATTTCTTAAAAAAAAAGTTTGTCTTTTTAAATTGACTTTAGAGAGAGAGAAGAAGAGAGAGGGAGAGAGAACATCTATTGGCTGCCTCCTGCACTCCCTCTACTGGGGATTGAGTCCACAACCAGGGCATGTGCCCTGACCAGGGAATTGAACCAGCAACCTTTTGGTGCATAGAACAATGCCCAACCAACTGATCCACCAGGCACAGCCTCCTTTTATTTCTTAAGAAAAATAAGTATATTTCTTCTTCATTATTGTGGACATGTCAACATTACATGGACAAAACTACATGTACAAAGTTATGCAGAAAACATTGATTTCATTATAAATAACATCATATAAATAGGTAGAATGCATTAGGGAATGATTGATAGTAACCATCTCTACAGACTCTTCATAGAATGAGAGTTATAAGCACTCTGTTTACCATAGTGAGTACCCTGCCCTTAAGACATTTAAGTTGAAAATATAAACTGCTATGCAAAAAATAATAAACAGGGCAATTATTTGAGAAGAAACTTGATCCAAAAGACAGATTTAGAATTAATGACAGAAATAAAAAAATAGGGAGTTTATTTGTTGTACACACACATACACACACACACACACACACAAAGATCAGCAATATTTCTAGACTCATGTATGGAGGCCAGTGAGACATAAGAACCAATGGTGACTTCAATTGTCCTCTCTGGAGTGTCTGATACTTCTTTAAATGAAATCTGACTGTGCATTTTTAATATATTTAATTATACATTAAAGAGATTTTTTTTTTAAGAGTTTTATTTATTTTATTATTATTTTTTTTAATTTATTTTTTTTGAAGGAATATTTAATATTAACATTGTGAGTTATTATCTTTTGCATATCCAATTTACACATTTCAAACAAATCGTCATTTATATTTACAGTATACAGATGCAAAGCATTAATTTCCCACTAAATCATCACTTTCTTAAAATGGTACATGTGATGTTATGAAATTAGCTATTAAGCATTCAAAATAGTGGAAAAGAGGTCCTTCATTAAAGAGATTTGATATAGACCTTGGAATTGTAGTATTTTTTCATGAAATCATTTTGTTCTTGGTGAGTCAAAGATCATGTGTTCAGAAATATGTTGGTTTGGAGATGATTTTCAGGTAGATTTCCCAAGGCCATTTTGTTAATGACACTAGTTTTAAAAAGAGTTATCATTATCCCAGTTCTGAACTTCTAAAGCAGAAACACTTCGAAATAGTGTTGAATTTGTGATATAGCAAAGAGAGACACTAAGCTTAATTTTGTTATTTTCCCCAGAGGATCAAAATAATCTCAAATCCTATATGTTGACTACTCTCCTGCACTTTCTAATTTATAATCTCTATCATTTTTGAGTTATAGGAGCAGCCAATAGAGTATCTGAAAACACTTCGTTTATACTTCGCCTTTCTTCCTGGTAATATAAATATCTGAAGAGGTTATTGCTTACCCTATAAAAGAGAGACATTATAATTTATGAATACTAAAAAAACCCGTGTTCATTCCTATTAAACTATGTGAAGAGCTGGAAACGGTGATTTTTCTCATGGAAAATATATAATAAAGGGAGTGCTTTGCCTGCTGCATCCTTAAGGACCTTTTGATCCCATTTTAGCCCTGATTACTCTCTATCAATAACCTTTGGACAACTTTCCTCACCCTGTTCTTTGTTTCTACTTGCCTATATGAATTAAGTGAAAATATTGTCCTCATCAATATCATCTCGTGGCATCGCCAAAGATCAAACCCTCCGGCCCAGATCCCAGCATGCAGCCAGAAATCTGAGCAGGTGGAAGGCCCCCTATACGGCTGCCTGCTTTGCTGGAAGCTGAAAACTGGAGTAGGCAGTTGTAATCAGCCCTAGAGGATTACAATTTATCTGGGCTGCTGCTCACTGCTACTGGTTTCATTTGTAACTTGTCTCAGCTAGGCAATTAAAAGGAAGCCTTTAGAAAAGAATGTATGTGCAATTCTTTATTCTATTTTATACTTAATTTAAGGTTTTGAGGAATAGGGATATTTCATTCTTAACTAAATGACAGCCCAGCAGTACGGTTAGCCAATAGAGCCTGTATCTAGTTATAAATTTGGAATAGCAATAATGGTCTCCATCAACTATTGTATGCAGGGTTGGGCAACAGGTTTACAGTTGTAATAGAAATAAATAATACAATAATCAATAAGTAGTAATAGGAGAATAAACTATTTTTTGCATACTCACAACTGTAAGCCTACTGTTGCCTGCCCCTGTATATTATGGTGGTGAATCAAGATATTTTTGTACAGGTTCAAGGTCAATGGCTAAATCTGCAATAGATGAAATACTACCCACGATCATTAAATTGTTTAAAATCACTAACAATTTAAACAGCCTAACACCCATTTGTTTGCCTATAGGTAATTCACAGGAGTTCCCATTTGGTTACCTTCACCTCCATCCCCAATTAGGGGTGTGGCTTATTAATCTGGTTACTTAATATTTCTGATATTCATTTTTGCATCTTTAAAAGTAGAAACTGTAATTATAAGATGTAAAGCACCTAGCATGTGTTTGTTACAGAACAGAATAGAGACTCAGTATTTGGAAGCTATAATATTCATACTAACAAGTAATTCCAGGTCATCCATTAGTTTCCTAAAGATGTTTAGTATATTTACACAGAAGAAAGTAAGTATTGTTCTGTTTCATCATTTGTGTTGTTCTCAGTCATACCCAAATCAGGTGGGCACCTTGTGTAACACCAGCTTTTGTCTGTTCTCCCTAGAAATCCAAATGGTGTAATGGCCCAAAGCAGCTGACCGTGACCCTATGTCAGTGCAACTCCTGAGATTGAGGGGCTGCTTCTGCCGTCATAGTGGGAACACTGGGGTGTGAGGTTTGGATTCTGCTTTCTAAGCTACTGTATGCCTTCTAAGGACCTCATTTTCCTCACTGACCCAGAAGCAAGGTTCCATAACTGAAGGAAAAATATATGTTATATCTTCAAAGGTACCTTTTTGTGGACTAGGCCGTTTACAAGGAGAGCTGATGACAATTGGGGTATACTTCTGAGGAGACAGAGCAGAGAGTGAGACTTAAAATTTGTTGAGATAGAACAATCTAGGAATATCTATTCTAGTATCTTGGCAACACCATTTATTTTTTTTAATACAGCTTCCTGATTGTTCACGTGACCATACCAATGTTAATATATAAACACTCCAAAGGGAAGGAATCATTTCTTAGTGGTTTCACTGAAATTCTAAGTGGTACTGGGAAGTATGTGGGAATAAGAAGAATCAGTTTTGCTGAAACCGGTTTGGCTCAATGGATAGAGCATCGGCTTGGGGACTGAAAGGTCCCAGGTTTGATTCCGGTCAAGGGCATGTACCTTGGTTGCGGGCATATCCCCAGTAGGAGGTGTGCAAGAGGCAGCTGATGGATGACTCTCTCTCATCAATGTTTCTAACTCACTATCTCTCTCCCTTCCTCTCTGTACAAAATCAATAAAATATATTTTTTTAAAAAGAAGAAAATCAGTTTGATTAGCTCTGACTTTGGGCAGGGTCCAGATTCTTCCTTGAAAATGCTTAATATTGTTGCACACTATAGGTGCTTTTAAAATGTCTTAAATGTGCTGAAACCGGTTTGGCTCAATGGATAGAGCGTCAGCTTGGGGACTGAAGGGTCCCCGGTTTGATTCCGGTCAAGGGCATGTACATTGGTTGCGGGCATATCCCAGTAAGGGGGTGTGCAAGAGGCAGCTGATTGATGACTCTCTCTCATCGATGTTTCTAGCTCTCTAATCTCTCTCCCTTCCTCTCTGTACAAAATCAATAAAATATATTAAAAAAAAAAAGTCTTAAATGTAGCCTGAGACAACTGCAGGAGGAGTCCTAGTTGCCTAATACCACCCCCACTCCCACCCCCCTGTAGGTGTAGGCACTGTTGTGTAAATTAGTGAAGACTGGCTGGGGACTCCCTATACACAGCTAAAAAGAGCTTTCAAAAACAAATACGTGCGAGAGAGTTCACAATGAGCCCAGCATTTCTATACACAGTTATTTCCAAAGCAAATACCTCAATGGGAGAGACAGACGCCTTTGTCAGCTGGGTTGCAGAATTTAAAAAAGAACAAGAGCCCGCCCGTGTCTTTGTTGGGAAAAAAAACCAATTTAGCTTCTGGAAACGATTTCACAGCTTGGGGCTCAGCGATGCCTAGTTTAGATGAAATTGTCTATTAATTAAACCGGAATGATTTAAACATTCATCACCTTGCATTGCACCTCTCAGAAACACACACACACACACACACACACACACACACACACACACACCTTGGGGTTTGGAAAGATGACAGCAGACACCCTCTCCCCACCCCCTACCCCCTATCCCCAAGCAGCCAGCCTGTTTAAAGCGCCCGGGATGGGAGAGGCCGGGGACCCTCTCCAGCTCCCACGGGCTCTGGGCAAACCCTGCCCGCGGGCACAAAGCGGGCGCTGCGCCCCAGCGCGTTGGCAGTTGGCGACCCCCCTCGACTCCCCCCGCTGCACTGCGGGCTCCCTGTAGCCTTTGGAGGCCCGGCCCGGCGGCTCCAAATGTTTTCCATATTTGTTCAGCCTCCGTAATCCGAATACCAGGGCAGGCTCAGCCCGCCCAGCGCCGCCGGGCCCAGGGCGCGCCGCCCACACACGCGCGCACCCGCCGCCCGCGCCGCCGCCGCCGCCATGGGCCAGGACAGGCCGCCCCGCGGCCAGCGCAGGCAGGGGGGGCCGCCGGCCGGGAGCGCCCCCGGACCCGACGACATGGGGCCGAAGAAGGGCCAGGGGCTCCCCAAGGAGTGCGGGGAGGAGGAGGCCCGGACGTGCTGCGGCTGCCGGTTCCCGCTGCTGCTCGCCCTGCTGCAGCTGGCCCTGGGCATCGCCGTGACCGTGGTGGGCTTCCTCATGGCGAGCATCAGCCCCTCCCTGCTAGTCAGGGACACTCCATTTTGGGCTGGGATCATTGTAAGCATCGAGTCTGTTTTTGCCTGAGCGCGTTTTGCCAGAGCAGGAATGCAAAGCCGCATGATCGAGGCACCACTAACTAACCCAGCTGCATGCGCCCCTCCCCAGCTCCACGCCGCTAACTCGCCCTCTGCTTGGGGACAGATGCCCGCAGCCCCGGGTGTGCCCGGGGGGCCAGGCTGGGCGACCCAGGACTGGTGCCCTCTCTGCTGCTTGTTGCTCCAAACGCCTCCAAAGGGCCTGATTCTAAAAGCGCTCTGGACCTGGGGAGGCCAAAGGCTGTTTTATTTTGATCAAACTGAACAGCTCCCTCCCCAGAACAACAGCAGATTCACGCTGGCTTTTTCCTTATCCTGGTCCCTGGACCCCCCACCCCTGCCCCTATCCCTAAATAAGCAAGGAACCTCGAAGTAGTTCATCTAAGTAAAAAAAAAAAAAAAAGAAAAAAAGTAGGTTTGGAAAAATCCTGTCCTTGGAGGTGCCCTTATGGGTTCGCCTTCATTGTATTCTTCACATGTGAGGTTCCATGAGTACGTCTTACAGAACAGTGTGGCCTAAAGCAGGAAACGCGAATGCAGCAAGCACACGCTTGATCTGCTGGAGTCTCCAGTGGGATCAGCCCAGGGCTCCGGCCCTGGCAGAGGTTTCCTTGGGACTCTGCTAATGGATGTACTGTTCTGAGCAGAACACTGCTCAGCTGTTGGGCGTGCGGAGGCCCACGGCAGGCATACTTGGCTTAATGAAATGGCCTCTTGGATGTGAAATGGGTGCCATTTATTGAGTACCTACTGTGTGCCTGTCCTGCTAGAGGCCTTACCTATATATATATTTTTTCTAATTCCCACATCATTCTTAATCGAATATTTCTTACTTCATTTCTCAAATGGGAGAACCGAGGGTCATGAGTTGGCAAAGTTGCCACATCAGTCAAGTTGATTCCCTTTGCACCAGATTACATGGGCACTTTTCCCATTGAGCCACACTGCCACCACATTTGGATTTTTATATATATGTATAATGTGCCTGGTTTATTTTCTAAAACCTCTTGCAGAGTAAGGGCCCGGAATTAAGAGAAATGTCCTACAATGATTAACATGGCATTTTCGTACAGAGCCCAGTTTTAACATTATGCTATATTATGGTGCCTTGTGGTTTTCCTTGATCCATGAAACAACACTCTGAGGTGGGAAGTGTGTTTCCTCTTTGGACAGGAGGAAACAGATTGAGAGCAGTTAAGGGACATTCCCAGGATCCAGAGACTAGGAGTGGCGGAGTCAGGCAAGACAGGAATCACCCTTCTGGCTCCTAGTGTCCTATTGCGTCATTACTGCTATTACTGACCGTGGGAGCTATAACTCACAGAGCAATCCTCAAAATAATTTTGTATCAGGGCAGATGCTAAAAACAACTGATAAATATGCATCAAGGTAGGGCTTTCCTAATTAAGATTATTTGAACTCACAAATTCTTGCCAAGCAATTTAAAACTTTTAATTTGTGTACTAAGAATCCCCACGAAATTATCATGATTGGAGTTTTCTAAATCAAGTGATTTTAAAAATAGCTTTTCACTAAGGTATACTGGGTATTTTAGTAACCCCAATGACTGTCAAGATACGAGAGGACTTGAATGCTAGGCAAATTAAAGGAAAAAAAAAGGAATGAAACTCCTTCATCAATGGTTTTGAATATCATTTGAGAATGGGTTTTCTATCTTTTCTTTATTTCAACTTTGAAAAGCCCAGTACCAAAAGAAAGCAAATTAGATGGGAAAATTTTTTGGTCTTGATGTTTAAGGCCGACCATACAAATTATGCAACTCTGAAATTTCAGGAGCTCCTCTTAGGAGTATCTTATGGATAGTCCTTGGGTGTGGTACAAAAAGTGTTATCTATAGCCACGTCTCTCTTCTTTCCAGTTTTCTAGTTTATAATGTAGGATCGACTTCAAGTTTTTTTGTAGTGATATCTGTCCCGGTCTTTATAACCTCACGCTTTCTTTAGAAAACGTGGAGTGTGTTTGTAGAGCTGAGCAGGTCACGGAGATGACCTGGGACCGATGAGGAGTGCCTCAGAGGAGCCAAGCAAGGACAAACTCTCATCCCAGCTGGGCCAGCGCTGCAGGCAACATGACACTGCCTCCCACAGACACCGTGCTTCTTGTCCTCATCTCACTGCCTGTGGTTGTGCATGGGGCACGCTTCCAAGCTTTCAGGGGTGGGAAAAGGCAGGATGGGGACAGGCAGACGCACAAACACTGCACCTGGTGTGGAGTCCTCCCTCGGCCATTATTCTCTGAGTAACTTGGGCAAGTTATTTAACCTCTCCAGGTTTCCGTTTTGTCATTGACGAAATCTATGCTTATAATAATTCCTACCTCTTAGGGTTGTCCTGAGGATGAAATAAATTAAGACATGTTCAAATACTTAGGACAGTGCTGGCTAATGGTGAGCATTCACTGAGTCAGCTCTTTTTATTAGCAGTGAGCGAAACCATCATTGGTAGTGGCACTCTTCAAATTAGAAGTGGCTCCGTTCTATCTCTGGTCTTGCAGGACAGTCATTTTGAACTTGCTACAGTTTCCAGACCAGTTTGAACCCCGAAGGAGATAGCAATTTGGCTGTCTCACTTTTTCTGTTCTCTATCAAGTTACTATGAGCAATCTTAGTGGTATTATATTAGCCCAGTACTTTCTGAATCTCTCTGGAGGTTTATAAAAATTAACTTGGAGGAAAAGATCTCCCCCACCCCCCAGATCATTGTGCCTAGAAATATGGGGTGCTTCTGGTCCTGTTTAAGAGACCTGATAGACCATAGCAAGGCAGGTCAATCCCTAGGGCTAAAGGCAAAGTCGAACCTCCTTTCAGAATTTAGGCTGAATTCAAGCAGGAACCCCAGACTGATGCACTCACCCTATCAATAGCTTTGCACGCTTAATTCATGTTAGTTATTCATTTTTCAATGACCTGGGGATTGGGGCATTGCCATTCTCATAATTGAATCTTGGTATAGGGACTAAGCCACTGAGGTGACTTCTCATTGACCAATTTTTAGGTGACTTGCTGACTATCCAGGGGCTTTCTGGTTATAGATTGAAGAAGCCCTTGGTGATCTATGACCAGAGAGTTATGGCCAGTGAAGCTTTAGGAAAACATATAGGCTGTTTCTTGCCTATTCACAAATGTGACTTCCTGACTGAAGTATTTTTACTTCAGTTACAAAAGGTTCCTGTAAAGGAAAAAAAATAGAATGAAGCCACTATGGAGACCAAAGTAATTTGTCAAAGTGCCATTCTTCTCTCAATTTCTTTATAATGGCTTCAGGATTGTAAGCCATACCACAATGACAATGCAAAGTGAAACAGGGTCTTTGAGGATGAACTTGGCTAAAGGTAGGGGATTCTAAGTAGTAGACATTTGCTCTGCTTTTTATTCTACCAGTGCTTGAGTAGCTGGGTCAAATAGGCATTTAAGGTTGCTCATCATTCCAGAATTCTTACTGATGAAAAGTGAGTATGGATTGAAGGAATCTGAGAACTTTGGGGCTTTAATTACTTCTTGCTCAAATGAATACAATTTTGGAGTAGGTGAACTTTGGCTTATTTTTCTTCATTCAGTAACATTTGTTGGTAGTGTCCACTGTGCTAGGTATTGGTGAAAAAATAATGAATTATCTACCAGGAGGAGATCTCTGGAGATCCTGATGGACACGTGCCTTTACCATATCTGACAGTAATGAATACTTCCGATTACAAAACTTAACCCACATAAAAATTTTTAAAGTCCATTTACCTTTCAAAGCATTTCACTTACAGTGATTTATTTGTTTTGGCACCTCTACTCTGAAGTCAATTTAAGAGCAGACTCTTGTCTCTCATCCCCAATGGGGATGCTTAGTATTTGTTAGTCTCTTGGCCCTTACCAATGAGGTAATAGTCTCATGGAAAATGGGGGTTTCTTTGTCCTATTGTAGTTTTTAGCTTTCCCAATTCTCTCTCTATTGCTCCCATACCCCACCCAACTTGAATAAAAATCCTGAGATATCTCTCTCTATATCTATCTATCTATCTATCTATCTATCTATCTATCTATCTATCTCTATCTATCTATCTATATATATATCTATATATATTTATATATACTTATATATATTTATATATAGATAGATATATAATATATATTTGTAATAGATTTATAGATAGATATAGATAGACATAGATAGATAAATAGATATATAGATAGATATAGATATAGATATATATAGATAGATACAGATAGATATAGAGAGATCTAGATAGATATAGATAGATACAGATAGATAAATAGATAGATATCACATCAGAAAGTTTAAGGAAAGGGCTTAAAAGGAAGGGAAGAATATTTCATTTCCTTAATATCATTCATAAAACTCACTATATCAATCTGTCATGATTAAGAGTCCTGTCAAGAATCTGACATACTCTAAGGAGTTCAAAATGCAGATTTATTCAATTTTAAAAAATCTATTTTTAATTTGATTTAATGGTAGAGAAAATTGAGTGGTTATTTATTTTAAAATAGATTATACCCTGAAATTCATAATTAGGTATATGATATATAGCAAGTAATTGGAACAGATATTGTTATTATCCATAATTTGTAAGTAGAGAAATTGATATATGATGATTTAGCTAAATAATTTGGTCATGGTTATGAAAAGAAACTGGAAGTGAGGAAGGCTTGGCATTGGGTTATGGACAGATCCTAGAGCAAGGCAGGAACTAAAAATGGTATCAATTTTCTATATAGGTTTATTGACATCTGAGCAATTTAATCTGGAATTATATTTTAGAAATACATTGCACAATAATGCATTACTTTTTATATCGGGACTTTAACATGCTTCCAAAATCTAATGTTGCATATATGATACCTCTGGGAAATAATTTTATCATAGCAACTGTCACAGGGTTATTGGGAGCTGAGGGGTGATAATTACATGGCTTAACTCAATTTATTATAAT